ATCATTGTTCTTCTCACATAGCCGAGAAACTTGAACTGAACAATGATTGTGCCCTTACGGGTTGCAATGGTGAAGCCAACTTTTGGCGGGTCAGCCAAATTATTGCCGCGGATCACTTAGTGACCCGCGGGTCATAGGTTGCCGACCACTGTTCTAGACGATACTATTTTATGACATGATGCTATTCATACATATTCTTTCCAATATTTTAAGATTTTTGCATCATTCATGATAACTGTTTAACACTGATTCTATTACAACATATTCCCTTTTACATCTTACCTGCTTGAGCAGCAGGCTAATATGATCTTCTATAAAAATCAGTACGAGGAATGAGATTGTAGCTTCATATGCTGGTAAAAAAGATTTGTGACAAAACATGCGATATGCCAACTAAATACCTACATTTTTTATCATTTAAAAATAATTTTGCTTCATTTTATTTTTCAATAAATACGAGGGTCAACTTTTCGAATCGCAACATTATCAAGTCTTAATCTGGTTAACTGTGATTCCACTAAACTCTATTCATGGTTTGTTTGTTCTCTCAGAAGAATGGATTGTGTTATATACCCTTATTGGTTATGTTACGTACTATTTCTCGGGACACTTGGTCGGCTTTTACAAATGAACTTTGTATTCGTGGGTTCTCACCTGTTGCAAGACGCTGCACTTACCTTACTATGGCTAGAGTACGACTTGTTGCAGGTCTCTTTCTCGGTGATCCTGATCCCCGTATTGATCTATTTTCTTTAGTTTTCCAAAGAATGACTTGTGTTATATACCCTATAGGGCCAGAAATACTCAAAGCGTAAGTCTGTCTATTTGGCGAGGCAGGTTTACATATTTAAAAACAAATATTTAAACTATTGAATACTAGAAACAGCTGCACAGAATATAATATGTACGAAAAGGATTATTTAACTAGGCTATGAAAAGATACGAGGGCGAAACGTCATAAGTTATGGGTTGCGTGATTAAGTTTTTTCAAACATTTTAAAACGGCACAGACTAAAAGAAATAATCCTGTTAAAATAATATAGGATGTTAAGTGGCTAATTACACAAACTTCAACCTAATTTCTTTTCGTTTCCCGACTTTTATGGTTTGGTTTCGCGTTGTTAAGTCGTAGTTAAGCTAAAAGTTTCTAATTATAATCATTTCTATGAGTATATAGAAGTAAAAATGAAAAAAGACAATATATACATTTCTTCCACGGTTGTACATCTACACAATAATCATATTGGGTTACAACTTTTGAAACGCATCAATTCACTTGGTGCAGGCATCTTCTAAAGAACTCCATTAACTGATTTATAGCTATAAGTTTTATTTCAGGCGCTAGATAATGTCCATTTTGTGCATAGACCTGTTTCTTAGACTACTTAAAACGGATAAGTGTTCGTTTGTTCAGCGTTCCATGGGATTCTGCCTAACGTCTCGTAACAAGTGACTTAATGATGTTTGTATTGATTTTCTTCCCGTCGAAGTGTCATCTTGTATATGGTTAGAATATAATCTTGGTAACACTGGGAGACAACGAAGACAGACCTTTGTGCCAACGTCTTTTCAACTTACAGTTCTCAAATGGTGATTATTTCTGCTATGTGCTCCTACAACGTGTGCAATAATTTCCAGATAAATACAGATAGGGATCTGCTTAGACGAAAAAGAATTTTCAAAGTTTATTAAGTAAAAAACTTC